ACTATCACTGAAACAACAAGTAACATATAACCTCAGTCATGAAAAATGCAATGCTATACAGAGTCATAATCAAAGAGGCTGACAAAGGGGGTGCTGTAGTCATCATGAACAGAAAAGATTATGAACAGGAGTCTTCCAGACAACTCACCAACACCAGATTCTACAGACTTCTCATCCTCTGATCCCACTAAAGAATACCAAACGAAACCTAAACCATCTGCTCATGAAACTTCCTGCTACAACTCAGGACCAAATCTACCCCCCCGATGTCGCCGTAGTGCGGGAAGCTGAGTCGGCAATATCCAGAGATATCTGGAGTGCATTACGGGCCACTGTGTAACCCTCCTGCACAATGGATTTCAGTACGTCCCTTTTGGAATGTGGAAGATGTTGTATCAACGGCACCAACTTCGAGTAGTTATCGAAGTCATGGTTAGCAAGATGGGCGGAGTAGTTTGCCATCCTTAATGTGGCTGTTGCCGACAAATATACCTTTCTGCCGAGCAAGTCCAGACGCTTGGCTTCTTTGTCCGCGGTGGAATTTCTCGCTTGTGCGGACCTTGCCTTTTGTTGGGCTGCGTCGACAACGATGGAATTTGGTACGGGGTGAGTAAAAAGAAATTCTGCGTCTTTGGCATCAATAAAGTATTTCCTGTCCGTGCGTTTATTGGTAGGGGGTATAGATGCCGGGGTTTGCCAGATGTCATTAGCTACTTCCAGGATAGCGGCATCGAAAGGGAGAGCTAGTTTTGATTTGCTGGACTGCTGTAAGTTTCTAAGGAGGGCATGGTGTTTTGGTGGTGCCCCAGAGGTACGTAAGTTTTGTGAATGCGCTACCCATTTGAAAAGTTCATGAAATTGCTTTTAGTCGACCGCGAGAGGAGGTTCTTCATTAAACACTGTCTGTCCGGGGTGGGGGTCGGGTCCCTTTAAGCACAGCCCTCGGCTAGCCTGAGACAGCAGCTCCACGCTCTAAGTCCTCATCTGATGCGCTGCCGGCACTGCTTCCGGCCATGCTTAACCCCCACTCTGTGTGGACATGCTAGTTCGAATTAGCAAAATGCTAAGTCGAACTAGTTTTTTAGTCTGTATGCATTAGTTCGAATTAGCTTAGTTCGAATTAGCGCTGTAGTGTAGACATACCCTGGTATACTACTATTGACATGCGCCAATTGCACCGGGGGAGGTGGAGATGGAGATTGAAGCTGAGGGGAAAAGGACGCCGGTTCCAGGCTAGGAGATGGAGTTATCAGTCTCCTAGACTTGCGTCTAGCCTTCTACGACGCACTTACATCCTGCCTTAGTGCTGGTAGTAAAGCCTGTGTTGGTACCATTGCTTGGGGTACTGGTGCAGCTGCAGGTGAGTCCGATGCCGCGGGACTCACTGCTGATGTGATGGGTGGACCTGCGAGGCTCGGTGCTGAATTGGGAACCGGTGACGGTTGACTCGATGTCGGTGCCGACACACTCGGCACCGTGGTTAGTGCTGGAGGACTTGGTGCCGTCTTGGTGCCAATGTTGGGGCTTGTTTTCTCGGTGCTGGTGCCAAGTCCACCTTAGGCACCGCTGAAACAGCAGGTGCCAGTTCCCTAGAAAGCGTTTGACTTGGCGCAGATGCACACCAGCTCGGGTTATGCTTGGAATATAATGTGTCAGTATAGTGTGTCAAGCTGACGAGGGTGTACGCTTGGGGAGAGTGCTTCAGCTAGTACTGTGGGTATAGACTTGCGGGGCAGGAAGTGTTGACCCCAAACGAGTAGTGACCTATGTAAGTAAATGTGAATCTATTGAGGAACTAAAAGGGGCTCCCGGAGATTATTGGGTAGAGGGCTAATGCCGGAGAGGGTGCCTCGGAACTCGCGGCGTTACACTGTCTTTCGGGCAAACAGGATGTGGCGGAAGTGCCCATGCGCTGCTTCTCCCACTTTTCTATCGGTTTATATCCTTTTCCCTTTTTTTTCCTTTCCTTTTCTTTCCCTTTGATGCTGTTAGGGAGACTAAGTGAAACCAATGCCAGTAGCAGTTGAGAAGGAACTGAGGGAACTACCGTCGGCATGTGTGTAACTGTCATTCTGAGCGATTGTGAAACAGTGCAGAACGCGCCGGTGGCCAGGGAACTGCTACCAAAGATCTCCGGGCCGTGTGCACAGCGGCGCTGACACACCTAAGTGGAGTACCTACGGGGAACCTCAAAGAAGAACTTAAGCACTTAGGAGGCTAAGAATCATTAGAAGTCATTGAAGATCTGATCATTGCAAAATAAGAGGTGCTACCTGCATATCTGTGCTTCCTCAGCATACTATCACTGAAACAACAAGTAACATATAACTCAGGACCAAATCTACCCCCCCTCCTCCCCCACAGAAAATCCCCAACCAGGAGTTTTCTATCTGCTACCCAACATCCACAAGCCTGAAAATCCCAGACAACTCATCATCTCAAGCACTGGCACAGTTATAGCAGGATTATCTAGGTTATACTGACTCTCTCCTCAGACCCTATGCTACCAGCACTCCTAGCTATCTTCAAGACACCACCAACTTCCTGAAGAAAGTACAGAACATTAGTAATCTTTCAGAAAACACCATCCTGACCACCCTGGATGTTGAAGCTCTTTACACCAACATACCACATGATGATGGATTACTGGCTGTCAGGAACACTCCCCGATGACCTCTGCAACTTCGTCCTCACCCATAACTATTTCCAATTTGGGGACAATTTATATCTTCAAGCTAGCAGCACAGCCATGGGCAGCTGCATGGCCCCACAATATACCAAGATCTTTATGGCTGATCCTGAGCAACGTTTCCTCATCTCTTACCCTCTAGCACCCTTACTCTACTTACTCTACATTGATGACATTTCCGTCATTTGGACCTACAAGAAGGAGACCCTTGCAGAATTCCACAGGAATTTCAACTTCCACCCCACCATCAACCTTAGCCTGGACCTGTCCATACAAGAGATCCACTTCCTGGACTCTACAGTACAATTACATGATGGCCACATTTCTACCACCTTATATACTGTTACACTTACCTACATGCCTCTAACTTCCCTCCAACACACATTTCCCAAACACTTGTTTACAGCCAGACTCCAATCCCACAGACAGAGACAAGCACCTCCACGACTTATATAAAGTATTCTTAAAACTGAAATACCCACCTGGAAAAATGAAAAAACAGGATTTTTTCAGGAGGAATAACGATAGTTCAAATTAGGAGCTTTAATTTGAACTATCTAGTCCGTGCCACGTGTAGCCGTGGTCAGGTAGTTCGAACTACGGGGGATTTAAAAATGGCGGCGCCCAGGAACATGCAAATGCAGCTCAGGATATTTAAATCCCAGAATTCATTTGCAAGTTAGAATGCCTACATTAGCCACCCTAGTTCGAACTAGGGTGGCTAATGTAGGCATTCTAACTTGCAAATGAATTCTGGGATTTAAATATCCTGAGCTGCGCTCTTGTGTAAATTACATTGTCATGGGATAAGAAGGAAGGTCCTTTCATGGATTGAGAACTGGTTAAAAGACAGGAAACAAAGGGTAGGAATAAATGGTAAATTTTCAAAATGGAGAGGGGTAACTAGTGGTGTCCCCCAAGGGTCGGTCCTGGGACCAATCCTGTTCAACTTATTCATAAATGATCTGGAGAAAAGGATAAGCAGCAAGGTGGTAAAGTTTGCAGATGATACTAAACTGTTTAAGATAGCCAAGACAGAAACAGACTGTGAAGAACTTCAAAAAGATCTCACCAAATTGAGTGATTGGGCAACAAAATGGCAAATGAAACTGAATGTGGATAAGTGTAAAGTAATGCACGTTGGAAAAAATAACCCCAACTATACGTACAGTATGATGAGGGCTAATTTGGCTACAACTAATCAGGAAAGAGATCTTGGAGTTATCATGCATAGCTCTCTGAAAACTTTCACACAGTGTGCAGCGGCAGTCAAAAAGGCAAATAGGATGTTAGGAATTATTAAGAACGAGATAGAAAATAAGACACACAATATCTTACTGCCCCTGTATAAAACTATGGTACGCCCACATCTTGAATACTGTGTACAGATGTGGTCTCCTCACCTCAAAAAAGATATTTTGACCTTAGAAAGGGTTCAGAAACGGGCAACTAAAATGATTAGGGGTTTGGAACGGGTCCCATATGAGGAGAGGTTAAAGCGACTGGGACTTTTCAGTTTAGAAAAGAGGAGACTAAGGGGGGATATGATAGAGGTCTATAAAATCATGAATGGTATGGAGAGGGCCAATAAGGAAAAGTTATTTACTTGCTCCCATAATAGAAGAACTAGAGGACACCAAATGAAATTAATGGGTTACAGGTTTAAAACTAATAAAAGAAAGTTCTTCTTCACACAGTGCGTAGTCAACCTGTGGAGCTCCTTGCCAGAGGAGGCTGTGAAGGCTAGGACTATAACAGAGTTTAAAGAGAAGCTAGATAATTTCATGGAGCTTAGGTCCATAAAAAGCTACTAGCCAGGGGATATAAATGGTGCCCCTGGCGTCTGTTTGTCAGAGGGTGGAGAAGGATGGTAGGAGACAAATCGCTTGATCATTGTCTTCGGTCCACCCCCTCTGAGGCACCTGGTGCTGGCCATTGTTGGCAGACAGGCTACTGGGCTAGATGGACCTTTTGTCTGACTCAGTATGGCCGTTCTTATGTTCTGATGTTTAATAAAAGTGTACATATTACTGATGACAACATCCATTACGCTATTTTTCCAGTGAAAAACCAGAGCTGCTCTTCCAATATTAAAAATACAACTATGACGTTTAATAAACAGAGAATAGAACCCCAGAGAATAACATCTGATTTCAAAGTTTCAAAGAGTATCATATGCAACAAGAAAGGCAAATTAATAAATTTAGGAAAAAGTTATTGGCAATATCCCTTCAAAAGTCCACCCCTAACATTTCTTAGTTTCTATTTACAGAAATGAAGCAACTTCTTAATAATTAAGAAAAACACTCACCCTCTGTTACTGACAAGTGCCTTTTTCAAGTGAATATAGTTAGCAGGAAAGATCCCCTGAAAGAGAGAACAATGCTACTTGTCAGAAAAATACAATTATAGTTTTGAACAATTTTCATTCTAACAAAAGTAGCAAACATTTGTTGATTGCCAGCCTTTCAATTTCATCCATGGCATAAAACAAGCGATCACTGTCAAAATCAATATTCAAATAATAGTCACGTCATATGGCTTCAACTTGTCTCAGCATAGGACACATGTTGATTTGACAAATATGTAAGTTATATAACCTTTCATTCTTGAAACAAAACTCCATGACATTTATGTGTATGTATCCAATAAAATACATACACATATGTATGTGTATGTATCCAACAAAATATAACAGGAAAGCTCTATAATTCTAAAAAGCAGCTTTTAAAAGTCATTCATTTTCTGGTTTGAAATACAGGCAGTCCCCGGGTTACGTACAAGATAGGGACTGTAGGTTTGTTCTTAAGTTGAATCTGTATGTAAGTCGGAACTGGCGTCCAGATTCAGCCGCTGCTGAAACTGATCAGTTTCAACAGTGGCTGAATCTGGACACCAGTTCTGACTTACATACAGATTCAACTTAAGACCCCCAAGTCAGCTGCTGCTGAAACTGATCAGCAGCTGATTCCAGGAAGCCCGGGGCAGAGCAACTCTGCCTGGGGCTTCCTGT